ACAGTCAGGTTAGTCTGAATCCAAAGTCCTCCAGGTCTTCAGAAACTCCAGGATGCTCCAGTGTGCAGCATCACACTGAAAACTGATGAGCACAAAGGGAATTATGAACAACAGTTAAAGTACTTCAAATCAGGTCAATTTATTTTGAGACTGGACGTAGAGAGAGAGTAAAAGATAAGCAATCACAAGAAAAAGCAGAAAAGCAAGCTTGCATGATGTGTAACAAATAAAGCAAATTTTTAAGCTACTGGTGGCTGAGAAGTAATGTGTGTCACTGACCTACCGGTAAAGACAGGAGAGCATTTAAATGCACCAATTTGAACCTTCTGACAGGTTTCAAGGGGTAGGAATGAAGAAAAAACTAAAGGGATGTCACAAGGCCTGTCAAACTGTCTATTCAAACTCCTTTCAGTAAAAGGCTTGGGTTAGGGTTTAGGAGATAGATGGCACTGGTGTAACAGGGGGCAGAAACAGGAATAGCTGATAGATCAGAGGTCCAGTTATATGGTGATTATTAGCAATCCAGTCCATGACTAGGAAGTCCCACTATTATTGCAAGACCAGTAAAGGATGTAAGCTTCAGATCAGCAGAATCCACATGAGAGGAAAGAGAAACTGAGCAAAAAAATCATAAAGCTGCCCCCTCCCTTAACCCCTTCTCAGCCTCTGTGTGGAGAAGGAGGAAAAACCTTCTCACCTCGGTGAGAATCACAACACTCCTTTTCCTGACTTAGATGAGCATATTTGTACCTCCACTATGTAAAATAGGACAGGCAGGAAACAGAAATACATGCACATAAAAGTGTGGCAACTGATAAAGGAAAAAAGGAGAATTAATATTTTGTGAAGAGATGAAAGAAGAAAAAAATAGAAAATAACAGAAAGTAGGAGAAAGACACTACAGCTCACCTATGCAAGTATGCACCACCATCCGCTAGAGAAAAGAAGGAAACAGAGTATGGAAAGAAAGAGAACAAAAGCAAGGAATGCAGTAAGTCAGGACTTCCAAGATGAGTTAGCCATTCTCTTATACATGCTGCTATACCCTCCACACGCCTCAAAGGTACTTGGTTAGTTTATACCTACTGCTATATAGATACCTTCCAGCTGGAGTGTCATCTGCTGGCAGTCAGGACTAAGCAGAACCACATCATTAAGCAGATCAGTTCTAGGTAGCCCAGTGAGTCTATTAGAGACTTTCAACAGTAAAATTTCAGGTTTCTCACACTTGACATTTGACCGTATTTCATGCCCTTCACCTTTAGAGACTGGCCATGCTGAATGTAAATCAGTTTGAATTAGATTCTATTAAAACAACATCGCGTTTTCCCTGACAGTTGGGTAGGTTTACAAGCTAAGAGAGGCACAGTGCACATCTCAGAACCATTTCTTTTCTCCTTTCCATATACTGCTTTTAGACACTTTATAGAAATGATGGCAAGTTCAATGCCAACAACACCAACAGGTATACAAGTTATTTGAAGTGATACTGTAGGTATCATCTGCTTTTGTTAATTCAGCTCTGGTGAGGTGATTCTATGAGAGTGACTGACAGTTTTCATTCTGCTTTGTTGAAAATTTAGGGAACTGAGCTTTCCTGTGCACTGAAAGCACCGATTTATGCGGGAAATGAGGGAAGGTGAGAAGACAGAAAGTAATGCATTTCTGTACTACCAAGGAGCAAAATACTGCACCTTTACTGATCTGACTCCTGCACCTGTTCTGACATCCCAAATACAGAGGGATTTCATCAGTGCCTGAAAACCAAGGGGGGCTAAACAATCCCACTGCTTTGCTGTTGCTCCACAAAGGCACGCCACCTTAAGAGATTTTTCTCTCTTTCACAATTAGCAACAGCAGAAGTGTAAAATACAGTAGTCCAGGAACCGAACATATGATTCAGGATTGCAACTCCAAAAGCCCTTTTCTAAAACCCTGGCACATATTCTTTACAGAAGCACACCACAGCACACAAAAACAGATGTGGTATTCCTCTCGGCTGCATAAAATTGAAACCCAGCAAAATCAGTGATATTTTTAGAGTGCAAACTTGAAGCCTTGAAGAGATTTAAGACTGTTTGAAACGTAAGCTGGCTTACAAAAGTCCCACAGGAATCTGTGAGGACTCTAGATCATGCTCCTATTAAAAAGTTTTAGCACAGAACTCATTTAATTGAAGGTACGCAAAGAGAGCATTTAAATTAAAAGAAAAAAATCCCCACCCACTTTTCTTTATCACGGGAGTTTCCCGTGCCCCGAACAAATCCAGGGCTGTTTTCTGCCTTCCAGTTTCTCCCTTCCTCCCGCAGCTTCCTACCAGCTGAGATTCTGCAGCTGCAGCAACAACAGTCCATCTGTGACAGTGCAACCACCTCGGTGGGATGGCTCCTACCAATTCACTGGCTTCCTTATGTTTTAATAGAGGTAGCAAAGCGTGATGGGGCTTCATCCCTCTTTTCTTCTTTTTTAACTGAAAAGATACTAATGAATATTCATTACTAGTCTTCTAACAAGGGCCAGAATTTTATTTAAAGGACTAGAAGGGAATTGCAAATTAGGCTAATACAATGGGAGATTTTTGACTCAGTTCTCCGATCTCAAAATAGAGTTAAAAGAGTAAGATTCTTTGCGAAAAAGAGACTTGATGACAGTAAAATAAAAAATATATCAGCCCAAAGCCACCCTGCTCCTCATGGCTGTGACTCCGCATCCCACGGAAGCATCACTGCCAGAGGGCCGCACTTTAACTCATGGGTTTATAGTGCCACTGGGCAACTCACTCACTGATGCGGATCTCCCCCACACATTTTAAGTCCAGCAGCACCAGGAAGGTCACATTCTGGGCCAAGGCTTAGCAAAACCCGGCCCATTCACGTGAGCCTGCAAACGCTGTGCACAGGCTGTTCCACGCTCCCCACTCAGCGCTGCTGCCGGGACGCTCTGCAGCCGGTGCCCAGCACACGCTGACCCGGCTTCCTGGAGCACATCGGAGCGCTGTTATCCACTTCTTCGGGAGACCACAAGAAAACTTGCATTTCAGTACTCATCGCCCAGCAGATAAGCTTCCACAGGGATATAAATGAGATTGCCTTTTTTCCCTGCTCTGGAAAAGCGAAGAGGCAAACAAACCCTTTCACACGTTCCCGGTGGAGAGCAATCCCCCAAGCTGACCTCGGGACAACACCTGCCCACCGCGGAGGCTGCAGCCCGGGCCCGCTGGGGCTGGGCGAGAGTCACAGAATCACAGAATTGTCAGGGTTGGAAGGGACCTCCGGAGAGATCATCTAGTCCAACCCCACTGCCAAGGCAGGATCACCTACAGCAAGTAGGTTGCTGAATGACTCCAGACAGCGAGACGACTCCGCGAGCTCCCTGGGCAGTCTGCTTCAGTTGGTCTGCCACCCTCTAGGTAAAGAAGTTCTTCCTCATGTTGAGGTGGAACTTCTTGTGTTTTAAGTTTATGGCCATTGCTCCTCACCCTGTCGCTGGGCATTTCTGAAAACAGCCTGGCACCATCCTCTTGACACCTGCCTTTGAGATACTTACAAGCATTCAAAAGATCCCCTCTCATTTAGTCGAGTCTACTCTAGACTAAACAGGCCCAGCACCCGCCGTCTCTTAAGGGGATGCTCCAGCCCCCTGATCATCCCTGTGGCCCTCCACTGGACCCTCTCCAGCAGCTCCTTGTCTTTCTTGTACAGAGGAGCCCACAAGCGGATACAGTAACCCAGAACTGGGCAAGGCTCACAAGTACGAGTCGGCTCACGGGAGCGGAGCAGCAGCGGGCACACGCACAGCCCCGCACAGACAGACGGACGGACGTGCGCACCCGCACACAGCCGCACACGTGCGCGCACACACGGCCGCGCCCGGGGAAGCGCCGGCTCCGCCGACCCGCTCCTGCCCCCCGCCGCAACTTCCCCACGTCCAGGGGCCGAGGGGGTTGTCAGCGGCGGTCCTGGCTCCCTCCCTCCCGTACTCACTTTCGTCCTGCCGTTGATTTTGTAGTTGCCCAGCTTGCCGTTGCAGTGCCGGATGAGATCGTCCATGCTGTTCATGAGGAGCCGGATGGTCTGGCAGCCCGGCTCCTTGCCCTCCACCCAGGTGATCTTGTCCCCGCGGATGTCCTTGGAGGAGTCGCTCTTCTGGCTGACGAGCTGCCCGTCGGTGAAGCGGCCGGTGTGGTGGAGGGCCCGCACCTCCTCGGCCACCAGCCCGCCCAGCTCCTTGCCGAGAAAGTCGTCCACCACGCAGATGCCGTGCTTGTTCATGCAGGGCACGATGTACTCCAGCGCCAGCCGCTGCGGTACCAGCGACTTCGTCTGCCCGTTGGGGCGCAGCGCGGCCCCGCCGGGTCCCGCCTGCACGCCGCCCGGGTACAGGTTCGACTTGTCCCGGTACAGCAGCACCGCCTCCCCGGAGGGCGACGGGGCCTGGGACGCGGCCGGGGCCTCCGCCTCACCGCCGGCAGCTGCGGCGGCGGCGACGTGGTTGTTGGTCAGCGGGGTGGCCTCGGCGGGGGCGTCCGGGGACGGCGGCGCTGCGCCCTTGCCGGCCCCTGCCCGGCCGCCGCCGCCGCCTGCCGCGGCCCCGCCGTGGGCGCGAGGCGGCTGGGGGTGCCCGCCGCGGGGCTCGGTAGCGCCCCCTGCCGCCCCCGCCGCCGCCGCGCCTCCGCCGCGGCAGATGAGCTTGTGCTTCTTCCAGTCCTGGCGCTGGTGCTCCTTGCTGCAGTAGAAGGAGCTGCGGCAGCGCCCGCACCGCAGCAGGTTCTCCATCTTCCCGCACAGCTCGCAGTACTGCCGATCGCGCTCGCTGCTGCTGCTGTTGCTGCTGCCGCCGCTGCTGCTGCTGCCGCCGCCGCTGCTCTCGCCCTGGCCGGCGCCGCCGCCGCTGTCATTCGCCATGGCGCTGGTGCCGCCGCCGCAGCCCCGCTCGGCCGCCGGGTTATGTTATGTAAGGAGGCGGGCGGGAGCGGCGCTAACGCGGGCCCCCGTCCGGCCGCGCGGGGAGGGAGCGCTCACTGCATCATGGCCGCCCGGCTCCGGCTCCACTGCGGGTCCCGCTGCCCTCCGCCTCCGCCGGCCCGCGGCCTCCTCCGGGGCGGCCGGGGCGCGGGGGCCCGCGCCGCCCTCCCTGCGCCGCTAACGCCGCTTAGCGCCGCCTCATCGCCGCCCCGCCAGCGGCGGAGCGGCCGAGGGGGAGCGGGGTGGCGCGGTGCGGGGCTGCCTTCCGCTCCCCGCCGGCCTCTCTCCCCGGTGCAGCGCGGGCCGGCGCGGCCGCCGCCTCTCCCCGCCGCGCCTCCGCCGCTGTGCCGGGGCGAGGAGGAGGAGGCGCCACTCCCGCGGCCCGCTGTGCACGTACGCCACTTCCAGCCCGCCAGCGCCGCCGGCGCGTCAGGCGGGCGGGGCCGGGCGGGCGGGGCCGGGCCGGGGCGGCCGCGGCCTCCGCACCGCTGCGGAGGGGCTGAGCGGCGTCGCCGCGGGCGCGGGGCCCACCGCCGGGAGAAGGGACAGGCCTCTCCCCTCTCTCCGACCAGCGCGGCCTTCCCGGCAGGGACGGGACTGCTGGGGATTGTCATCGTCCTGGGCTGCTTGGGACGCCGTCTCTGGGCGGGCAGTGTGTCGGTAGCCCGTGGGTGCCCGTGTCCCCAGTAGCGAGCTACCCCGGTGCCCCTCGGGGGTGCGTCCCCGTCGCAGGTGAGGCGGGGTCACCGAGGAGCAGGGAGTGACATGGAAGGCGGGCGCTGTCTCTTTGAATGACAGGCAGGATGGCGGCGGCAACAGTGGAGGGCCAGGTTTTGTGAGTCCCTTAGGCCCTAAAATATCCCTGCTGGATAGCTGGCAGAGCGGGAGGGACGTGCGCTGGCTCCCTCATAACACGTGGCTTGTGTCCCACCTAACTCGGTGGTAATGAGGGACAGAGCCAGGCTGATAAAGAAAAGGAAAAGGAAAAAGCATGGAGAAGGAGCAAGTGATGTGGCTGCTGAAAGGAGGAGAACCCAGGAGCTGGGGCCCATCCTTTGATGAACATGGCAAAGCTCCTGATGGGAAAAAGGAAGATGATTTGGCAGAGTGTGCTGGTGGAGGGACAAAAGTCCCAACACAGTTTAGCTGGGTGTCAGAAGCCACATGGGGACCTGGAGTCCTCTGAGGTGATGTGTAAGCTCCAATCGATCTGCTTGATCGTGTCTTTGCTTGCTTGTGGTCTGTGTTATGAAAGTGGAGTATATTTTGCAATTTCCTGCCCAACATGGTGGTCAGTGCTTCAGAGCCTTGTGGTAAGCCGGAACAAGGATTCCTCCTGGGTGGGTTCTCCTGCCCATCTTCTCAGAGAACAATTTGGAGAAAAGACAGCAAGTCTCTGCTCCCTGGGCTGGGCTGGTGACACGCAGTGCCTGCCGTTGTTCTGCACTGCCTGTAAGTTAAGCAAATCCATTCTAAAACCCAAGAAGTGTAAAACACATGAGCCAGTATCCAGATCTGGAGGAAGAAAGGCGAAATGAATCCACTGGTTGGTAACCCAGAGGCTGCTGCAAGCTTTCACATCACTTTGGATAAGTGATTTTTTTTCCTTGTCACTGTAGAAAAGGAATACTAATGGTTTTGCTCCACACAGGCTGTTGTGAGGTTTAAGACTGTGATATGCTTGTATTATAGTGAGACGGCTTTATGTACGCAGTTTAAATGGTTTGGTTCTTATCATCTCTCCTGTAGAACTGGATTTAAAAGTAATTGGCATAGCAGTAGGACTTGGAGGAATGTTAGAAACTGAATGTACTATGTGAAAGATGTAGAAGGAGTTAGAAAGTGTGCCAAGGCTACAAGTGCCTGTGGTACATGCATGAAAAATGAGAAGGAAAACCAGGATGAATTATTAGAAAGGCAGAAGGAGTACTGAGAGGACAAGGTCATGAAAGCCCAGTGGATAAAATGTCAAGGTGAATATGACCAACAAGCTCCAAGGCTGAATTAACAACAACAACAATAAAGGTGCTGAATGAACTGGAAAAGATGGGTACTAAAAACAAAGTTTCAGATTAGTAATTTCTTTAATCCCCTTCTTAAAGGGAAGACAATGAAGTGGTAAAGGCAGAAGGAAGTGGATTAAAAGCAAGTTTTAAGTCCAGAGCATAAAGTGGCCAGATTTTTAATGTAGATTTAATGAGAGTTTCTCTTTAACTGCTGGTATATGAGGTATGTCAGAAATACTAGGTTAGGCATTACTCTAAGTTGCTTTAAGCTGAAATTAACTCATCTAATTTCCTCAGACTTGCAGTAGCCTTAAACTGGGCTGAATGAGAAGAGAGTCAAGGCTGTTATTTTCAAAAACTTCAGAAATGCAAACAATGACATTCTGCCAGACAGAAACTGAAGAGTTAAAGACCTTTTGCATTTGTTGTGTACTCCTTCAGCAAACATAATGGACATGAAAGTCACAGACTCAAAACTCAATCATCCAACTATGAAAACTAAGAAAATGACCAAGGTACAAGTATGGTGCCTGGCTAAAATCTAATGATAGTTATTAATTTACAGGCTAATTTGGCTTCAAAAATCTTTTGTTCTTTCCCTCTCTATTCCACGTGTCTTGGGACACAATTAAAGATCTTAGTTTTTGCATTTGCTAATGTGCTAAGCTACTTCAGGTTGTCCTGACATAATACTGTTTGGCAGCATTGTCAAAAGAAATACCAAGTTCAATAAAATCCATCTTTGGGTTTTTGAAGCATTTGCCATATTTTATGATTACAGCACTTTGCCAGTGTCACAAAACAATTTAATGGACGTTGTTTTACAGTGACAAAGCTGTGTCAAAGAGTGGTGGTGATAACGAAACTCTGGAAGACAATGAGTATTTATATTACAATAGTGTCTGCAACATGCTAGAAATGTTTTCCAGGCATATAAAGACTATTCATTGCCAAAGGGCTTGTTCCTTAAAAGACAGTGTAAGGACAAAGCATGACAAAAAGCAACATGCAGTATACAAAGCAAAATGACCAACAGGATTGTTGCCAGAACTGAGGGGGAAGGGACTTCCTCCTCTTTCTTTTCTGCTGGTTACTCTTCACTTGCTCCCTAACGCGGTCTTTCCAAGATAGCTAATTTCTTGTCTGTGTCAGTGAATGTTGGAAAAGAACTTTACTGATGATTAGGTAATGATGAGACATACTGCTTTGCAGAGAATGCAGGTGAAAAGTCTTTAAAATTAAATACCATCATAATGAGGATGTTGTGGGATAAACTTAGTGCTAGGTCATAGTTTTTTATCACCACTTATATATGGATCTGATATGCTTATTAGGAAGGCAGAGAAAAATGTTGGTCAATGAATAACTTCTCTGTTTTTATTATGCAGTAGTAATAGCTGCGTTTATACCATGCTTCAGATATCTGGCGTACTGCAGCGGTGAGGTTGTATAAGCAACCGAAAAAGAACCTTTGAAGCCCATGGAGAAGGGGAATGCAGAATAACAAGATTAGGGAAGGTTACAAAATCAGCTTAGAAATAAAGTTCAAATGAAAAATAGTCTCATCTTCGGACAGTTTTGCTGTGAACTGGAAAAAGTCCCTGTGATTCCAAGCTAAGTTTTTCACTGCTGCCAGAAGGCCAGTTGGAAAATACATGTGGTAGGTGTCAGTGAGACAGATGCATGTCCACAACAGTGTCATAGTTAAAATTCAGATCTTGGGTGCTTGTAGCATTTGCTCACTTCTACCCAGGCTATTCCACCGTGTTCTTCAGCCTGACTGCTGATATTCCACTTAAACCATTTTTCACTGATCGCAAACAGTGCCATTTTTCAAGCTTGCTTTTCATACTAGCAAGTGAACTGCAACAGGTTTGTAGCTTTTCCAAATAAAATGGGAGAACTGTTTGTCTGAGTGGGATTCTCTGTTAAACTCACTTCCTTTCTAACGAGGACAAACTGTACAAAATACATCCACAGGGATATGCAAGTTCTCCTTTGTTAAGTACGGACTCTTTTCCTGAGGTACTCAAAGGCTTAGTGTGGTTTATTCATCTCCCAGAAACCTCCCCTGTCCTCTGTTTCTGCAAAGAAGGGAAGTGGGGAGAGGGATGGGCGATCACCTGTTAGAGGTGATCCAGGAGGTGTGCCTGTCATCACAGAGGAGCACGAGACCCAACACAGGGTCCCCTCAAATCACTTGGCCAGCACACCCTCAGAAATTTTCAAGATACAAGCTTTAGCTTTTTGATAGGCCAAGAACTTGGTATTTTCCTGCCACAGTAAGAAGTGGCACCCAGCCCTTGGGGCAATGGAGAATTGGGCTCTGAGCCCTGAAAATAGTCTGCAGTACCCTGGAACGCCTCTCATCCCACTTAGTGCTTGTTAATGCCATTGCAGAGTTTCTCTGAAAGTTTTTGCTGAAATTAAAGTAATAGAATAATTTGGTTGTTTGTCACTGAATATAATAATGATCTAATGTTTAAAAGAGAAAACCTTTCATTATAATCTGATATTATATGGGTTGGGCTAAATATAAGGAGAAGTATTCTCAATTAACTTTATGTAAACTTGTGTTTAATAGTGTGTTTAATATTGCAGGATTCCTTCAGGCTCTTCAACTGAAATTGTTTTTGCTGTCCCTGAATCTGTCTGAAATTGTATGCATTCTCATATCTGGGAAGATAGCCTATTTTTATTACACCAAAAATATGGTTAGGGTTTATCCAGAGAGATTATACATATTAAAATTTTTGTCTACTGTAATAATTTTATTCCCATTTAAGGAAAATTAATTATGCTAGTGCAGTACAAAACATTGTATTTTTTACTTCTTTTTTAACTGAAAATGCTGCTTCCAAATGTCTGTATTTGTAAAGCTATGGAAATGCAGAACAGCTTAGAAAGTGCTCAAGACTGACTCATTCCAGTTTTGTTTTCATTTTAAACTTTGTACCATGAAAAGTTCAAAAGTTTTTTTTCACATTGTTTGTGAGGTTTCTCCAGAGGGAGTTTTCTGGCTCTGGTTAGAAAAGAACTCCCTGTCTTGCTGAAGATTGACAATTATGTATATTTTTGGCCTCTAACTTAAGCAAGCCAGCAGACCCTCAGGGTGCTTAAAGTCCAGTTGTGAACAGAAAGTTACTTTTAAAGAACATTTTTTAAACCTATTTGAAATTCATGCACTGATACGGTGATAAGAAGTTTGGGGGTGGAGGAGCAAGGAAGAGAGATTCCTGCTTTATGTCTGTGTAGGTCAAATTTATCTGAACTGCTCCAGAAGCCTTTCTTGATTTTGGTGCGGACAAGTCTTCCAAAGTGAGAGCAGGGGACTGCAACGTAAATAAAGTCCAATGCATGAAAAGACCTTTTCATTCTGCATCTGATATGTGCTTCCTACCCCTCTGTCATCATGATTCAGCACTGTGACATGCTGAAAGATCATTAAGGTGGAAACAATGCCGAACAGTCTTAGGATGATGTACACGTACCATGATTATTTTGCCCGTACCTGATTTATTGCACATCATATTTTCTCTTTCCTCGTCTTTCAACTTCCAGGCACGTAGTTGTTACTTCTGCCAGTGCCTGATCTTGTATTCAGAAAAGAGAACAGAGAAGCCCTGGGGTGTAGGCAAGGACAGTGTGCCCCTTGGTTTGGGAAGCTTGAGAGTACCTTTACTCATGCATTGCAATATATCCTGCTATTTAATGAGTTACAGTCTCCACTTGTTTTTTCCTGATTACCTAGAAACTATTATCCAGAGCTCAAGAGAGGAACTCATGAACCGTTCCTGAAAAAACGAAGATGTATTTGTTAGAAGACTGGACATTTTATCTTTGGTTGAAGATGCAGTTTTCTTTTCCTTCTTCTCCAGATGCCTGGCACAATTTCTGATATCCCTAAATTCTTCTTATTGAGGCAGTTGTACCAGTAGGAAAGAGACCCTAAGAAAATGAGATTTTAAGGAAGCTTAAAACATTTGCTGCTATGAAAGGAGATACCTGTCTTAGTAATTTAAGAGAGGAAGAAAAAGGTAATAGTGAGTGAGATTTTGGTGTTATTGCTCAATAACACTTAGTGGCTTAATATTTTTTTTTTTTTTTTGGTAAGGCAATTTCTTGAGAAGAATAGGGACAGGCCTCATTTTTTGTTTGTTTTCTGAGTGAACGGTGCTGTCCTCCCTCTTTTCTTGAACAATGAGGATAAAATATTATAGCGTGTGCTTTGATAAAACTGTTAAGATAGTACATCTGTCCTGAAGAGCTCACCTTTTCCGGGGCTGGCTACAGACATGCACATGAGCATTGTGAACCTGAACTCTGAAGAACCACCGCAGTGAGTGGACATAGTACAGTTCAGCACCGTGTTCTCTGTCACTCCTCATTCCTCCTTCTGCCATTATAGTGCCTGTGTGTTCCTGTGCTCCCCTCTGATGCATACCAGGATGCAATGCTGCCAGTGCCCTCCTTAGTGTCTACCCCATCCCAAGGGCTTTGGGATGTCTATTCTTGTGTTTCCATCCTTCCAAAGACACAGGCTTTGTGCCTGAGACTCCATGCTCTTCTGTTTGCCTTCCTCTTATGCCCTGCAATGCTTCTTTGGTTGCAGTGGCTAGATTTAAGACACAGTGTTGAGTTGCTGCCCACCAGAAGGGGTGGTTCTGCTCCCTCCAGAGCCTCGCTCCTTGGCACCACTCTTATCAAGCCCTTTGGTGAGTCATTTCAAGAGAATAGTTTTCTGTTGGATTAACAAGTTGGATTGGCTTTCCAAGTGGTTTGATGTGGTGCAAGAGAGGGTGTGGACCAGCAGGGCCAGGAGTCAGGGAGGGAAAAGCAGGACCACCCAAGTCAGAACGTTAAGCTGACTCAGTCATGTCACGTAACTTCGCTCTTATTTACTTCATATGAGGTAACTTGACCCATTTCTACTTTTTCCCCGAGTGAAAAGAAGCTTTTCATTTTGAAACTGCATTGAGAGAATCAGCAGATCCACAGTACTGGATATTCTGTGTCAAGCCAGGATAATGACTAGCATCAGCTGCCTCTGCTATCTCAGGATGTAAGGAGAGGTGTTCAAGCTACTGATGGTGTGAACCGCATGCCAGGGACTCAGATTTTGTAAGTTTTTGTTTGTTTGTTTTTCTTTTCAGGTTGCAGTAGTTGAAAGGTTCTGGCTGTTGATTAAAATAGTTCTTGATATTTTAGAACTGAAAAAATATGGTATTAAAGATTGTGATGTTGATACACACTCATTATGATGGTGTTCTGTGTCTTCTTCCTATGCTAACAAACACAATCCTCTGTGTAAATACTCTTAGACTTATATCAGAGTAAGATATTTCATCATGTTTTAAAGCACATCCCAAGCATCTTATACCAAGCACAAATATTTACTGAACCAGGAATGCTAGTAGTGGCTATACAGTAATTTATATTCCTATATTATTATGAAAAATTGTCACCTTCCCACTGCATGATCTAAACTGGCACTATTCGATTTATCTCTTTCAATGGGCATTCAGACGACACAATGCTGTTAATGAATCCGCTGAAACATAATGTTGGAATTGTACGATGGAGAGCTTTTACAAAGCAGTACCTAACTATTAGATGCTGGAGAATTAAAATTACCAGGAGTTTGTGCAAGCACACAGCTGAATTTGTGTTATTAACATCTTTGGTTTGGGCTTGAAGAGATAGCATGTGCTACAGAGCTGTAATTAGGGCTGGGTTGTGTCCGAGCCT